ATTTTCCTATGAAAAAACATCGTAAAAAGTGATTTGTCATTCTTGACACCATGCACATGTCGCCCGTCCCGTCATCGAACTAGCGACTGGTCCAACAGCTTGTGTGTCTCAGGGGGTTCCATCACAAACAGCTTCCGATTTACTGATTTCTTTTATTAACTCGTGTTTGGGGTCATTACATCCGGGACGTTTGTGGTGTCACGTGACATAATGACGACGATCAAATCTCGTCCCGTCGAGTTCTGTAACTGGGAAACCATCTGTTTTGGTTCGAAAAAAATACAACCAGATTCAAAAATAGAAAATTATCCCATACGGAACCTGCATCGTCACATTACTTGGTATCATGCAACCTGTCGTCGAAATAATTTGATCATCAATTTTTTTGTGTAATTAATATCTGACGGGAGAAATACGGAAATCATCGTAAAGTATTCAGGGTGGTCCTGTTCTAATATAAAATTGGACGAAGATTTAAACGCATGTATCTTACTTATCAACGACAAAATCATTTTATTGATTTCAAAATCATTAAAAAAAATATCGGAAATTAAAAAGAAATTTCCTGAAGATCAATTGAGAAAATCTATTGAAAAGTGTAATTTTCTACCTGACTGATTTAATTTAAATATAAAAAGCGCTGATCATCAAAATTGAATGATTAATCTTAGTACGTGAAAGGTAGATTCAATGTGTAAAAACGAAACCCTGCTACCACCGTTCTCTCAATGTACGCTGGGGTCTAAGACTGATTCCTGTTAATCACCAATGTGCTGTTTTATAGATTTGTAACCCGGATACATCATTTATCACAAATATTCAAAATTGAGGAAAATATTCATTTATTCCTATTCAACAGGACATTTAGCAATAGTTCCACGAAATCTGGAGTTGTATCTTACAAAAAACAGGGGGGTACATGTATATATAGAGAATCTTACATGAACTTCAATTTCATTTGAGCCTCTAGCATTTCATAAATATCATATAAAATGGAACGATTGTAAGATTCTGTTTATATCACATTGCCAAGATTTGTTGTAACTATTTCATATCAGACTCTATGGTTTACTATTTCATATCAGACTCAATGGTTTACTTTTTCATATTAGATTATATGGTTAACTATTTCATATCTGACTCAATGGTTTACTTTTTCATATCAAACTCTATGGTTTCTTATTTCCCCATTCTACTATATGGTTTCTTATTTCCACATTCTACTCTATGGTTTGTTATTTCCACATCTTACTCTATGGTTTCTTATTTCCATATCTAATTCTAAGGGGTTTTATTTCCACATTCTCCTCTATGGTTTTTTATTTCCACATCTTACTCTATGGTTTCTTATTTCAATATCTAATTATATGGGTTTCTTATTTCCACATTCTACTCTATGGTTTCTTATTTCCACACTCTACTCTATGGTTTCTTATTTTCACATCTTATCTATGGTTTCTTATTTCCATATCTAATTCTATGTTTTTTTATTTCCCCATTCTACTCTATGGTTTCTTATTTCCACATCTTATTTTATGGTTTCTTATTTCCATATCTAATTCTATGGGTTTTTTTATTTCCACATTCTACTATATGGTTTCTTATTTCCACATTCTACTCTATGGTTTCTTATTTCCACATCTTACTCTATGGTTTCTTATTTCCACATCTTACTCTATGCACATCTTACTCTATGGTTTCTTATTTCCATATCTAATTCTATGGAGTTTTATTTCCACATTCTACTCTATGGTTTTTTAGTTCCACATCTTACTCTATGGTTTCTTCCACCTTGTAATAAAACACGTTAACTTCCACCTTGTAATAAAACACGATAATTGCCACCTTGTAATACAACACGTAAACTTCCACCTTGTAATACAACACGTTAACTCCCAACTTGTAAGAAAACACGTTAACTTCCACCTTGTAATACAACACGTTAACTTCCACCTTGTAATACAACACGTTAACTTCCACCTTGTAATAAAACACGTAAACTTCCACCTTGTAATAAAACACGTTAACCTCCACCTTGTAATAAAACACGTTAACTTCCACCTTGTAATACAACACGTTAACTTCCACCTTGTAATAAAACACGTTAACTTCCACCTTGTAATAAAACACGATAACTGCCACCTTGTAATACAACACGTTAACTTCCACCTTGTAATAAAACACGTTAACTTCCACCTTGTAATAAAGCACGTGAACTTCCACCTTGTAATAAAACACGTTAACTTCCACCTTGTAATACAGCACGTGAACTTCCACCTTGTAATAAAACACGTTAACTGCCACCTTGTAATAAAACACGGTAACTTCCACCTTGTAATAAAACACGATAACTGCCACCTTGTAATACAACACGTTAACTTCCACCTTGTAATAAAGCACGTTAACTTCCACCTTGTAATAAAACACGGTAACTTCCACCTTGTAATAAAACACGATAACTGCCACCTTGTTATACAACACGTTAACTTCCATCTTGTAATAAAACACGTTAACTTCCACCTTGTAATTAAACACGATAACTGCCACCTTGTAATACAACACGTTAACTTCCATCTTGTAAGAAAACACGTTAACTTCCCCCTTGTAATAAAACACGTTAACTTCCTCCTTGTAATAAAACACGTTAACTTCCACCTTGTAAAAAAGCACGTGAACTTCCACCTTGTAATAAAACACGTTAACTGCCACCTCGTAATAAAACACGTTAACTTCCACCTTGTAATAAACCACGTTTACTTCCACCTTGTAATAAAACACGTTAACTTCCCCCTTGTAATAAAGCACGTGAACTTCCACCTTGTAATAAAACACGTTAACTCCCACCTTGTAATAAAACACGTTAACTTCCACCTTGTATAAAACACGTTAACTTCCACCTTGTAATAAAGCACGTGAACTTCCACCTTGTAATAAAACACGTTAACTTCTACCTTGTAATAAAACACGTTAACTTCCCCCTTGTAATAAAGCACGTGAACTTCCACCTTGTAATAAAACACGTTAACTTCCGCCTTGTAATAAAACACGTTAACTGCCACCTTGTAATAAAACACGTTTACTTCCACCTTGTAATAAAACACGTTAACTTCCCCCTTGTAATAAACCACGTTTACTTCCACCTTGTAATAAAACACGTTAACTTCTACCTTGTAATAAAACACGTTAACTTCCCCCTTGTAATAAACCACGTTTACTTCCACCTTGTAATAAAACACGTTAACTTCCCCCTTGTAATAAACCACGTTTACTTCCACCTTGTAATAAAACACGTTAACTTCTACCTTGTAATAAAACACGTTAACTTCCACCTTGTAATACAACACGTTAACTTCCACCTTGTAATAAAACACGATAACTGCCACCTTGTAATACAACACGTTAACTTCCATCTTGTAAGAAAACACGTTAACTTCCACCTTGTAATAAAACACGTTAACTTCCACCTTGTAATACAACACGTTAACCTCCACCTTGTAATAAAACACGTTAACTTCTACCTTGTAATAAAACACGTTAACTTCCACCTTGTAATAAAATACGTTAACTTCCACTTTGTAATAAAACACGTTAACTTCCACCTTGTAATAAAACACGTTAACTCCCACCTTGTAATCAAGTTTTTTTTCTGTCACACATCGAAAATCACAAGATAAATACCCAATAAAGAAAACGAAAAGAATACCAAAATGTAAACAAAACCATCAATAAACTCGAAACTTTTTGAACTAGGACAGACAAAATTAGAAACAATGGGGAGGATATAAAACGGAGACATTTGAACAAGTACAAATGGAATAAAACCAGGTGGCCTGGAAAGGTAATCATTTTCTGCTTCATGTACGACCCCCACCATATAAATCTAGGTCAAATCCAAATAATGTCAGGCCCTAATAGCGAGAACAGGGGTAGTGACAGCGAACCACAACGTAGATTTTAAATTAATTCACTATTACAGACATACAAACTTCTAACGCGACAAACATTGTATCGATACTCGTTGGCACACAAAACAATGAAAGCTTTCTCACATAAATATCGACAGAAAAATCTGACTTTTTAAGGCGACTACTCAGATGTCTTAGATAAGTATGGACAATTTTCGACTAATGCTCTCTAAATCCGAAGTAGAAAAGGCGGATTGGTTGAACATTGGAGGTCAAAAGTTTTTAATTAAGTAATGTCCAAGGCAAATGTTCCCAGAATTTCAACTGTAGACAATGAAAGGTACAATAAAGGAAACCGTTTGTAGGATAAGGCTGAAAGGATAAATTATATACTCGTTATTGTTACCTTGGGCGTAGCAAGGATATATTTTACAACAGAAGGCAGCAAAATATAGTTTTTAGTATTTCATAGGTCCACGAAGTAATTACGAGTTTGATTTAAAGCTATTCTGTCCGTTTGAGTGGGTACTCGTAATCAACGAATTCAAGTACCCACGAAACGGTGTTTTGTCAAGGAACCACGAAATTTGGGCCCAACGAAAATCAATTTCCACAGTATGTCAAAATTCGTGTTTTCAATTTTGTTCGGTTTGAAAATGTAAACCATCTTATCAACAGCAGTTTAACTGTGGTCCCATGTGTTTGGAAAACATCTATACTGACAATTCAAATAGTTTTGAGGTTGGTATATATTTCAAAACACAGAAAAGATCATACAAAAAAATACAACCATCATGGTCGCTGACCGATATATCTTGTTGTCCCTAAAGAATAAATACATGAAAGATAATCGCTTAAAAGTATTGGATAAATGGGGCTGGACCTAGTCGGTCCTGGTTGTGGTTTATATGCAACGCTTGAAGGATGAAAAGAATTATTGATGTCGAAAATATGTGGTCATTAGACATAGTTTACAGGTCGTATTTAAATCACTTTTGATTATTGCATTTGGTAACGCTAAAGGGAAGTGTTGACATGCATTGAACGTTGACACAAAGTAGTGTAGTTGTTCGACTTCAGAAAACGTATACTTACCTTTACGTTAGAGCTCTCATCCGTGGATCAAGCTTCTTTTTTATTGGTATTGTTTCGATATTCTGGAATAAAAAGTCTGTAAAAAAGTGTCCAAATTGACGAAGGGTACAATTTCTCTGTTTATATAAAAAAAAAAAAAAAAAAAAAAAAAAAAAAAAAAAAAAAATCATATTGAGTATATGCATTAGATAGCTAATTGCCAACCATTAAACGTTATTAAGTATGTCACTGTAAGGATCATGAAAATAGACAATATTATGCAAAGTATAAAAACTGCCTATTTCATAAAAAGCTATGTAATTATTTAGACATAGAACTGCCCGCATATTTCTGGAAAAAACACAGTTTGCCAATATTACCTCTATTGTCAGGAATCATGGCTATTGTAAACAAAAGTCAACCGTGTGTTGACTAAGAGCGGTAAATACTGTTCCGTGGAATCAAATCAGCTCATCAGTGTTATGGGTACCCGCATAGCTGGTTTGAAACAACCCTTCTGGGGCAGGACGGGTCGGCCATTGTTTGAAACCCTCTGTCCAGAAGAAAGAATATATCAGTAGCTACCTCGTGTTAGCATTCCATCCAAAGAAAAGTTATTATGATAAAATTTCATCCATCCAAAGGACCAATACATTAGGATAAATTTCTCTCCAAATGAAAGTCTGTCTGCAATTTTATGTCTTGTTTATTATGATTCCCACGATCGCGACTAGCTTCAGCAGACGACATGTTTAATGGCGGGAACAGATTTCTCTGTGTGACCTCTCACCTGTACGAGGCATCCCATGGAACATCAAACAAGATGGCGTGAAGAAGCATGCGAACTGGACAATGATTAGAAAATTAATTTCCGCGTGTACAATTCCGATTGATGTCTGTTTCCTAATGTCAATAAAGTCTTCACGTTCCACGGCATTTTGTCATTGGCGAGTGAAACAAGTAATTAACGAATAAAGGAAACAGCGAAATTAAATGCGATTTGATTCAAATATTGTACAAATACAGAATATGACAAATATTATTTGTTGTAACGAATTGTCACGAATTCCATCAAGAGATCTCTGCTCGAAAGGCAGTAGCTGGAGATAGTAGATTGGAAAAGATGAGCTGTAGCGTTAAAAGATATGTCCGTCCACGAATTGTCAATAACCATCGGTTTGTTTAGTCGCCGCAACTTTTGGGTGTCGTGTTAATTGTCGAGTCGGTCTCTATATTTCAATTTCCGAATTTAATCAAGTTTCGTTTCGCTAGAAATAACTGTTGCTTTTATAGTTCCTACTAATATTTCCCTTTGTGAGGCTGTGGTAGCATTCATCAAAATAAAAAAAAAACTGCATGATACAACAAAGTTTGTTTCAATATGTAGGCATAATGAGAGTGTTTGAATTCTAGGATCTACTCTAGCTGTTGCGTCTAAAATATGTATTCTGAGTAATAACGCATCTAGCTGTGATGTCTAAAAACAGCAGTACCGTCTGTATTAGCCGTTACTAAAAAGAGATATCTACCCTAGCGTCTTTGTCTAAAAATAGTTTATAATCTGACTACTATGTAAAGAATTAATTGTTTATACTACACTTGCTATGTCAATCCAAGCAAAAATGTTGTTTAAACCTATTTACGGTTGAACGTATTCCACAGCAGACCAGAGACTAATCATCTGAACTGAAGCCTAGAGGAGCAGCTGATCTAAATACTTGTGATCGGAGGATTCACGTTGGTAAACGAAGGTTGAATGGTCGAGTGTAGATTTGGGGGATTCAGTCTGAAGGTCCTTTATTTCTTTTTCCATGCGATACTTGCTACTTACTATTTTTCTGCTGTTGATATTTTTTTTCAACAACAATTCCTTTCAATCTACTTCAATTTTATATATATTGTAAATCGACAACTTTCCACTTTACTAATCACTATCAAACGGGATGTTGACAGGTCTTGACATGTGCACATCCGGCGTGAGCTGTGCGCGTGGCTTCCCAGGCCCGCGCCTAGACCACCTTTCTAACGCACGCGCTATTGAACCAACTCCCTGGTAACGTGATATATCTGTAATTTGTCGTCTGCGAATATTGTCTTACAGACTCCTGGCGCGGTAGGAGGGACGGTACCCCGATATGATTCATGCATGCATCAATAAACTTCAGTCACTTCTCGCGGACCAGTTCCGGAACTTTGTTATAAGCCGACTCCCTCATTATATTCACGAGTACGCCTTACAAGTCTCATTTCCAGACGTATCTCAAAACATCCCTATCTTAACATCAAAACAATACCACTGTCGTAATTTTCCGTCGATTCGTTTTCAACTTCCGGAATACAACGTCACATGCGCTCGTGACTGGCGCAGAGGTCACGCGAATGATCCATTCGACCGATAAACCGGAAGTCGATGCCGTGTAGAACGACGTAAGAAAATGTGTTGTCATCCTGCACATCCGACCATATCGATCGAAGATTGGCTGATTTCAAGATTATTCAGCGTCGATAAGAAAAAAATAAAGAGATAAAGCGATAAAAAGACGATGGAATCTCCCTATCAAACACATTTCCATGAAAACCTGTCATTAACTTTATGGTTATTTGAAATATGTGTGTTTGGTGTATTTACAAATTCTACATTGCTATTGTTCCTGATTCTGTCAAGAATCATTATTTGTAAATCAATAACGGCATCTTAATCCTACCTGGTTATGCATAAACATGTCCACGTACTCTTTTCATCGTAAAACGATGTTAAATAAAAATACCCATGACATATTAAAACTCATTTGTGAAACCGAGGTGTTACATGTAAACAAAAATCTTGAGACTGGGCTACCTCCCTTTGTCGTAATGACCTTTTTGCCTTATATGGATTTCACTCGATCAAAATGTTTTGATTGTGTTTGGTTATAAAGTTTTATTCAAGTAAATCAGGGGAAAAAATCACATTCTGAACTTAATATGGATACGAAACGATTATATAAACAACAGAAACTGAGGAGACACCAAAACAAAAGGGAAAACACCATGCACCAAACATAATCGTGTTCTGCAACAGTGGCACTCGTCTTGATGTTTTGCCTCAGATTCGTTATAGAACTATCTAGACACATTAAATAAAGCTGTAATCGTGATTAGTAATAAATAATAGTATATCATCTTTATTTACACTGTATTTTATAACAATTATGAATCAATATTTTTCAATCATATATTCATCACTCTTATTGACCCGGATGGTAGCGCTCAGAGGGTCTAAATGTGGGAGGAAACATGAGTACCCCGAGAAAACCCACGTGGCCGGGCAAACAGGTTCATTTGTCTGAAATCAAATAATTATGACCACAAGAATGTTTCTTAAACGTTAATTGCAAATTTTCATTGGAAAAAGCTAATAATTAACCTTATTATTAGAAAAATGATAGAGGAACGAAAGATCTATGACATGTAACATCCATACATATGTAAGCAGGGAATAAGGCATGTTACTACTAAGGAAAGGAAAGTTAATAATAATGAAATTACAGTTGTTATGCTTTTGTAATGTAGTATTGTGGTGACAATTCCTGTACTGTAATACAGTAGGTAAACGTCAAAATGCGCTAAAGGTAAGAATAGATGAAATACAGACAGATCTCATTGAAGCTTGATTTTTGTGTGACAAAGTGTATCATAAATTGGTTAAAATGTAAATTTCCGGACAAATACCTTATTTCATTTCTTAAATACATTAGCCTGTACATAAATTCATACTCATAAAAACGAATCATGTTGGTTCTCGTTACCAATCAGAGTAACGAATTCCATTTGTATTCAAATTAAACTAATTGACATTAGATGTCAAAAAAAATGGTTGAGCAGATAATTAGTTTGATCATATAAAACCGATTCTGACTTAATAAAAACATACCGAAATATGATTATACTTCAAAAAGCCAGAGATGGTATATAGTCACATAAAGAAATAAAGTTTTTTTTCGATGTGCCATTTAGTGGCTTTCACTTTAATGTATGAATCCGCAAAATGAGCACGATGTTGACTTATAATTATATCAGTAACATTGAAATCTTCCTATCTCGAAACCTCATCTTTAGCAATGTAAAGTGTGATGCGATCAAACAAACAAAAGATGATACTAACACAGCCAGAATGTAACACTGTGTAGGTACAGACATCGCATTGGTACACAAGTCGTTTGCAGTGTAGTAATATGATTTGTGAAAGCATACTTTAAAACTATGAAAATTAATGACATGCACTTCATTTGTAGCAAAGGGTAATATAATGACAAACGTGTATGGTGTTTTGTGTCACGCCTTCAATTCTAAATAATTAATAACAATAGTGTCCTTAGATGATTTATTGGTATTTTAAACACAAAAGCTACTTCAAATTTAGAAACATGTTTTTCGTGTCAACCCAATCAGTTCGTTGGTTAATTGATGAACTGTGCGAGTGTCACCTTTACTGGTTCCACCTAAGGGACAATAAGAATGAAGACAATTACCTTCGAGACGCAGGTATTTTCGATAATTACCTGCCTAGTCTGTAAAAAACACAGCTTATAAATTCCCAAGACACATAAAAAGGAAAATGCTCTCTCGTCAATTCAGACATTCAGCCAACAACAACAACACATAGATAAAAAATAAATAGCACTCGGCCCTTATAAGGAATGCAGTGATATTAATGTTTCAGGAGTGTCACGTGACCTTAGAAGGTGCAGCCCAAATATAGATACAGGCGGTTGAACTGTTGGTGCTTATTGTATGAGTGTATAGAAAAATATGAGAACTAAGCAATACACTTTTGTTAAAATATCTGCTTTTCACGTCAGATGATTAATTCCAGATACATTTTTTTGGTTTAGAAAAATGTTTCTTGCTTAGCTTGTGTTTTGGTGTAATGATTGATTAAGCCGACGATTAAAGCAAAGGAACAGTATAGGTAGATTGTTATCGTGGTGTTATGAAATGTTTGCATGTTTCTGGTAAGAATTTGTATACATTATAATACACGACAATAAATGTAGGTTTCATGTAGGCGATGTATGTTTTATGTGTCAATCAATATAGATTTTACGTGTCAATCAAAATATGTTTCAAAGTATAAATAGCGATGTGTTTAGAAAGACAATATATACATGTAAACCTACGCGATGATTTTTAATTATTTAGTCAAAACTGGGCCAGCGTAAATAAATCCTAATGCTTTTTACAAATCAATTGAAACTTTGTTTTTCCTCCATCTCAGAGGATATTCGAAGCAATATGTAAATGTTTATCATATATTTATAATGTAATTTTATTATTATATATTCATAATTCGGTGTTTGGGGAGTTCAAATTAGCATAACTCATATTTTTTTTATTTCGATCTAGTATTTGTGTCGTTGAAATCATCTAGAAGCCAAATTTCAGAGTCGTTGAATGGCGTTGATTGGGGGATCATAGCTGAGTAAAGTCCGTCAGTATAGATACTAAAGCATCTTGAACCTGATGACGTGTAAACCACGTACATTGTGACGCCGACAGTGTACGTGTATTCCATACCATCACACCATTATTACGTAAACGACTCAGGACACGTGTCTTTGACTAAGTACAGATCAAACAAAGTCGCTTTCTGAACTGGACTGTGGTGATCTATCATATATTATATCTCTGTTACAATTTCACGTCTCATTAGCGAT